AAGATCAAAAGAAACTGCTAGAATGGAGTGTTTATTAGTAAAGGTATTTTGTACATACGTATCTAAGTGGAGCAAAAGGTTCAACATAGAGCGGCCCTTGCAAAAGCCTTATTGGTGAGAGGAAAGACTATTGAGAGCCTCCAAATACCATATCAAACGTCTATTCATCAATCGTTCCATCACCTCGAAGACTACACTGGTCAGAGCAATGGGACGATAGTGAGAGGTATCAAGCCTCAAAGTGCCTGGTTTGCCAAACAGTAGTACAATGGCAGATTTCCATTGTTGAGGGAGAACCCCTCACGTCTAAACAAGATTGAAAAGACGCAAAGGGATTGTAAGGGGTGTAGAATGCAGATGTTGTAGTATACAGATATGAATATCATCAGGCCCAGCTGCCGATGACCAGCAAGCGGAAAGCGTGGACTCGAGCTCTAAGAGAGTAAAAGGTACGTTATATTCCTCCATCACATTAGAAGAGAAATCCAAGGGCAATTGCTCCCTGGCAGAACTAGAATCGAAAAACAAGGGACAGGTGAAGCCCTTGGGAGACATGGACAAGATAGTTCCCGATTTCCATGGGAACCTCAAGAGGTTCCACAACACTAACACCAGCAACCTGCAAAACGGGAGCAAAACACAACTTTCGTACCTTCTTCCAAATCCCACACATAGGGGTAGAAACGTTGTCTTGTTAGCAAGTGCATTTAGTGTCACATATGACATGGTGAGCGACTGCTCTTGCCCGCTTAAAATCCAAAAGATGATATGCAGTTCGATATCGATAACAGCCCCAAGCAGTACGTTTCAAACACACTGCACGAGCACACGCAGGAGACCACTAAGGCACACATGTCTGAGAATACCTGCCTGAAGTTTGAGGTATAGAACGTGATGCTGCAGCCACAACTAATGTCGAAAACTGGTGCACCAGCTCATCAACAGAGGACGAAGAAGGGTACCCACAAAAAGCGGTAAGATAAGAGTACAAGTTCCAACACACTCGTCCAAATTGCCAACGAGGGCTACAAGGCAGTCGGGAAAGCGATCACTGTCATGCAAATCCGGGAGAAGACCAAACGTAATCAAGTGCGATTGACGAGAAGCAGATAGAAAGATCAATGCAAGAGAGAGACTGAGAGTGAGAGTCAAAAATGGGATTGAGGGCACCCGTATTTAATACATGAAGAGGATGAGAAGTGAGAAATCTCTCCAACTGATCACTAAAGAGTTACAGTGGGACCCTCCCCAAAGATGATGGTGAGCGTTAAAATCACCTAACTAGATGGGCGGCGGCAGAGAAGAGATCAAGAATGCGATTTTCGAGATACAGAATGCATGGGAAGGGGAGAGATATAGAGAGCAAACTGTAAACCACCTGTGCAAATACATACAGGCTAGAGTATAATGCAGCAGAGAACGAACAAAGACCTGTTGAAACGGTATACCAACGTGCACAAGAAGTGCACTCTCATTAAAAGTTTCAAGAAAGGGATAAGAAGACTGTAACAGCACATAGCCCGAAACGGGACGAATAACAGCTGAGCGAACTTTAGACTCTTGTACCCCAACTCATACTGGGGAAAACTGGGAAAGCAACACCTGGAGCTCTGCCCGATTACCCATGAGGCCACGAATATTCCATTGTAAATAAGTCATTATGCCAACAATGGGAAGTGATAAAATCTACGGGCTAGTAGGATCAGTGAAGTCAATGTGTGGAGGCAACGGAAAGTGTGTAAGCAAGGAGGAATCAGAATGCTGTGAAGGAAAAGACTGATGAGAGGGTCGTGAAAAATAAGATGGGGTAGGAGGAGTTGTGCTGGTGTTCATCAAGGGTTTCGTCTCCGCAATATAGTCGAAGAGAGCGTCAAGTGTCTCAGTGGATAAGGAACCGCTGATACCATGACTTCAGAGACAGGTGTGAGGTAGTGCAAGTAGAGACCGGGGAGACTATGGAGGGAACCAAAGAGGTCTGAGAGGGAAGGGATTATGAACCTGGAGAGATGTGCCGGCAGGGACAGAAGAGTCATGTGGTGGAACAGGAGAGGAAGGAGGCTGGAAGAGGACTGGGGAAGAAGTCTGGGGGGAACAGAAGAGGGGACCACATGAGGAGGTGAACCTCCACCTTCGTGTGAGAATTAGAAAGGGGGTGATAACTAGGCACCAAGGCCTAAAAGGAAAACTGTTGGGGAATTGTAAGCACCAGAGGAATGCGAAGAGGCATTCCTCTGGTGCTTACACCAGAGACGGGTTCAACTTCGTAGGTGATAGGCGCGAAAAAGTTGCAGGTGTGCGAGGCCTGGCAGACTGGGAAATTAGTGGATGAGTAGATGAAGAAGTAGAGGTAGGAAGAGGTAAGGGAGATTGCCAGTGAAATAGTTAAGGAAGCTCACCTTGCGTACATGAAGTACAGTGACAATGTGTAAGCCGAGGCTGAGCTGGAGGAACGTGCGTTGTAAAGCTGACATAGTGACAACCCGTCTATTACTCTTACATCTGCTGACGTGATCAATGACTGTCTTCCTGTCCTATCACATACGTCCTATCACGGACGTCTGTAACCTAGAACAGCAGTACATTTCTGTGACACTGATACACCTATTGACTTTTCCAATTCCATCACTGGCTACAGTGTCTTCTTGCGGAAATGGTCATCAACGCTCATGTGCTTTACAGTTAGTTGAAAGCTCAAATATCGGAGTCAGGGTGGACTACACCATGTACACACACGCGCTGGGGCCAGGAGCTATGAATCGACCCCTGAAACCATAATTAGGTGAGTACACTCACACAAAATAGGTGAGGAGTTGAACCGCTCATCAAAAACTAATGGGGTTTTAAGAATATGAGATGACTAATCAGAGGAGTAGCGTATGGCTACACAGTATGAACATTTCAAACTGGGGGTCCAAAAATAATGATAGCAGTGATGTACAACCCGCCACCGAAAAGCAGGATGTCAAGACAAGACTATGATGAGAGTAACAGAGTGATGATGGACACACTTGTCGAGGTTGCCAGAAGGGCCCACATAAGCAGGGCAAAGTTAGTCATCAAGGGGGATTTCAACTGGCATTACTAGAAAACTTCATGTACCAACATGTTAGGGACTCAGTTAGAAAGAGAGAAGATGATAAATCAGCATAGCTGAGCCTCGTATTCACGTTGAGCAGTTCAGGCATAGGAGATATCACACGCCAAAGGCCCCTAGGTGCTAGCGATCACGTGGTCATGAGTTTCGAATACATTGTAGAATTAACAATGAATAGCGAAGCAGTGTGAAAAGGATGGGAGAAGCCAAACTTCTAAAAAGGGGACTACAAAAGTATGAGGCAATTCCTACACGAGGTGGAGTAAGTAAGCAAACTGTAGGTAAACAAAGTGCAGGAAGGCAGTGGAGAAGTTCATACCAAGGGGTAACAGAAGCGATATGAAAACCAGAGTGAAGTCATGGTTTACCAGGTGTGGTGGAGAGGCCAATGCCAAGTATGCTAGAGTATGGAAAAAAATATAGAAGGCAAAGGACCCAGAAAAAAAACGGAGTTGAGCCGAAGATCCAGAAATGAATATGCATGAATAAGCAGAGAAACCCAGCATCAATACGAGAATGACATAGCAGCAAAAGTCAAATCTGATCCAAAGTTGTTACACAGATACATCAGGAGGAAAACAACAGTCAAGGACAAGGTAATCAAGCTGAGGAGGGAAGGTGGGGAGCTCACAGGGAGAAGCTTCCAGTAAACCAAAGTGGTAGGGTGCACCAGTAAGAGCTGGACACACTGCACACAGCCGAGGAGGTGGTGAAAAAAACTGGTAGGGAAACTAGATACCTCGAAAGCCGTGGGCCCAGATAATCTCTCCTTGGGTCCTGAGAGAGGGAGTAGATGCACTGTGTGTGCTATTAACAATCGTCAATAAATATATCAAAACATGGCAACTGCCTGAGGTGTGGAAGACAAATGTAGTCCCGATTTTTAAGAAAGGAGACAGATAGGCTGCACAAAATCACAGACCAGCGTCGCTGAGATCATCAGGAGAAGAGTGGTGGAGCACCTAGAAAAAAACGGACTCACACATGACAACCAGCACGGATTCAGGGAAGGAAAATCCTGCATCACAAACCTTTTGGAGCTCTACGACAGGGTAACAGAAGACAGAACAGAGAGCGATGAGTAGACTGCATCTTCTTGGACTGTAAGAAAGCTTTCGATACAGTGCTACACAAGAGACTGGTTAAAAAGCTAGAGGAGCAGGCAGGAAAAGGAGGGAAAGTACTGCCATGGATCAGGGAATACGTAACAGGAAGGAAACAACGTGTGTTGGTACAGGACAAGGTGTCAGAGTGGGTGCATGTGTCGAGTGGATTCCACGAGGGTCAGTCCTAGGTTCGGTGCTGTTTCTGTTTGAATGACATGATGGAATGTGATGTGGGTCAACTGTGCTTGAAATCACAGGTTGACCTAACCAACCAGTGTAAACTGTCACACCCATTGCCTTGGCAGGGAAGTGTCAGGAATGTAGGAAGACTCTTGGCACCGTAGGACTCATGGTTCGAGGTAAGAGGAAATAAACAAGAACAAGAACTAGTAAGAAAATAAAAGAACCCAGAGGGGTGTGCATATATATGCTTGTACATGTACGTGTAGTGTGACCTAAGTGTAAGTAGAAGTAGCAAGATGTACCTGAAACCTTGCATGTTTATGAGACAGAAAAAAAGACACCAGCAATCCTACCATCATGTAAAACAATTACAGGCTTCAGTTTTACACTCACTTGGCAGAACGGTAGTACCTCCCTGGGCGGTTGCTGTCTACCAACCTACTACCTAGTATATATATATATATATATATATATATATATATATATATATATATATATATATATATATATATATATATATATATATATATATATATATATATATACTACAAAGAATGCTTCTGAAAGAAGCAAACATTTAAAATATAACAAAAATCGTTTACAAGTAAAGTTGTTACCGTAAGTCCCTCCATATTGAGTTCATCCATGACTGCCATGACTAGTTCCTGGGGACACGGAGCACCAGCCATGACTCCTGTTGACAAGGAGCTTATGTCTCTGGGCTTCCTGCGCTGAACATTCAGTATGTCGACGAACATCGTGGGTGTACCGTAGCAAGAAGACGCTCTGAAAATACAAGAAATAGTATACACGTAGGCAATACAGCGCCTGGGAAATGGATAGCAATCACATGTTTCTATAACTATACCAATAAACGAAAAAGTTTAGGAAGTGTCAATCAAATGCTACTTGAACTGTCAATATGGAGGTATAATATCCCAGCCGCAGAGTATCAAGAGTAACTTTACCTCTCGTCTTGTATCACCTGAAGGCAAACCTCGGGATCAAAGGCTTCACTGGGGAGGACGCAGGTTGCTCCATACAGAGCGCCAGCTATAACTCCACCAACACAACCAAAACAATGGTACAGCGGCACTGGCAGACAAATGCGTACATGCTGAAGAAAAAAATGTTGTATTATAAATTAAGGGATAATTGGAGTTGTATATCTTACGACAGTGAAATGTATTTACACAGAGGCGTATATCTGTTATTCATGACTCAAGAAATCGTAATGACACGATTGCAAACAAACCATACCCCCGGCTGGGATTGAACCCGACGGGCTGGAGTTTTGAGACTCTATGACCGCGGGTTCAATCCCAGCCGGGGGTATGATCTGTTATTCACTTAGTGTATATACACTGAGGTGTACTCACCTATTTGTGGTTGCTAGGGTCGAGTCATAGCTCCTGGCCCTGCCTCTTCACTAATCGCTACTAGGTCCACTCTCTCCCTGCTCCATGAGCTTTACCAAATCTCGTCTCGTTCCTGTCTCCACTACGTCATCTGCCAGACTATTCCACTTCCTGACAACTCTATGACTAAAGAAATACTTCCTAACATCTCTTTGACTCATCTGAGTCTTCAGCTTCCAATTGTGGCCCCTTGTTTCTGTGTCCCATCTCTGAAACATCCTGTCTGTGTAAATAAGAGATAAGATTTCCTTCGAATTTTTAATCCCAGAGGGTTAGCCACCCAGGATAACCCAAGAAAGTCAGTGCGTCATCGAGGACTGTAACTTATTTCCATTGGAGTCCTTAATCTTGTCCCCCAGGATGCGACCCACACCAGTCGACTAACACCCAGGTACCTATTTGCTGCTAGGTGAACAGGACAACAGGTGTAAGGAAACGCGTCGAAATGTTTCCACCCGCCGGGAATCGAACCCGGGCCCTCCGTGTGTGAAGCGGAAGCTTGAGCCACCAGGCCACCGAGCACAGAAGTGTAAATACAGTTTACCACAATCACTGTTACATGGTAAAAACTTGCCGATAAATATGATTAACACTGCAGTACTTATTATAAATAGAGATGATCTTCCGCTCTCTGTAGAGCTCAATCAACTCAGTGACTTGATAAAGCTCTACACAGAGCAGTACCTCGATCCTGTTTTAGAAATTAGTCATGACTGGATGCGTGCGGACGATCTTCAACCTTAATGACTAAATCAGCATTGGAAACCTGACAAATCAAAACCAGTTCCCTCTGTATTGGGTTATATTATCTTTTTTATATAAAAGAGGTAGCGCAACTAGCTCTATCGAGGCTCTATCCTCCGTTTTATTATAGACATAACACTACTCACACATACCAGCTTCTCTCCTACAGGCAAGTTAAAGAATACTATATTTTTCGACCTCATCCTAAGGCGACTGCTGAAGGCACCTAGGATGACACCAACATTATTGTCAGTGGGAAACATTAAACTCGTATGGATCATACAACCTGGGGAATGAGAGGTAAACAAACCATACAACGGACGGGGAATAGAACCCGCGATCAGAGAGCCTCAAAACTCCAGACCGTCGCGTTAGCCATTGGACCAGCTAGCCACAATCGTGCCATTACGATTTCGTGAGTCATGAATGAGAGGTAATTAGGTTCGAACATACGAAGGAAGGGTAGCTACAATTCCTTAGATCAACAGCCATTCACTGACATCAAGGAGCCTCCTTATATATTATATAAATAACCCGAACTTAGGACTGAAACTTGTGACGATGTTTTGGTCTCACTTGGACTAATAACAAGTTACATAGAGATGTGAGAAGGGAAGGCAGCCAGTATACGAGAGGTGGGCAGGGAAGGCAGCCAGTATACGACAGGTGGGCAGGGAAGGCAGCCAGTATACGAGAGGTGGGCAGGGAACAGGAGTGGTAGAACAAGAGAAACTGGTAGCAGTAGTGGTAATGGTAGCAGTATATGCAAAGAAACAGTCGAAGAATTAATAGTAGAGATAGTCTATAAGAACAAGAGTACAGAGAAGCACTTCAGGAGATCTACTGGCCAATGGGGATCCCTAATTATATATTGTAGCTCAAATACACGATGGTAATACGATTTAAAAATGAAATCTGGAATATGGAAACATGTAAAATTCTGAAGCAAAGACATGAAGCAGAGGAAGCTTTCATAGGGACAGTTTCGCTCTTTGTGGAGCTTTATCAAGTCACAGAGAAACGTTGTCCAATTAAAAGCTTCTTTTGCGACCAATTTCATTTCTCCATTATTACTGGCAGATCTGTATTTGGAACCAACTGTAAACTCAGCTACAATTACTTACACTTTTGTCATAGTCTGCTCGCCTGCCTGTGCTATAAGCATTGTTGATGACCATGTGATGGGTGAGGACAGCAGCCTTGGGTAAGCCAGTCGTACCCTGAAATAACATTAATAATTACACTCTACTTCACAATTATTATTATGTATCCCCGAAAGAGAACTATTAAGTGGCTACCAGAATTTTTTTCCCATTTTTTCTTCCTCCAACTTGTTTTCCTTTCACTCACAACTTAAATTATTATTATTATTATGATCAAAGAAAGCGCTAAACCGACAACGGTCATACAGCGCTGTGGGGCAGAAAACAGTACTGGAGAGACGATTAGAGGTGAAGGGAGAAAAGGGCTGGAAGGGACGCTAAGAGTTATGTGTCAAAGTTCGTACATTAAAACAGTGCAGCCATCTGCAGGAAGGGAAGATAAGGTACGAGTGGTAGGGCGTCGTCGTTGGATGTAAATCGTGCGAGCTTGCTGGTAAACCTGGCAATTGACAAGAAAGTGAAGAACCGAAATAGGGGCCCAACAAACCTCACAGAGAGGAATAGGTTGTTGTTCCATAAGATTCCCATGGGTAAGGCGAGTATGGTCAATGCGGAGACGGGAGAGCGCAGTCTCTCGAGTATGGCAACGGTGGTAAGAAATGACCACAAACCTAAAAGCAGTTTAATAGAGTACAATTTGTTACGGTGCATGCTCGACTATTACGGAGTACTGTAAAATTTTTTTTATATAAAATAACGCTCCATATATATAATTTTCCGTGTAGTATACTGAAAGTCGACGTGTATTATTCCCTGAAAGCTAACACGGCTGCGAAGACGAGCAGAGATGACTGGAAAATAATCTCTGAATGGAATACCTCCATAGGAAACCGGAAGCTCATGTACCGCTGACCGCGCAGCAGCATCCGCTTGTTTACTGCCCTCCACATCAACGTGTCCAGGGAACCAACAGAAAACAACGTTTCTGTTTTTGCTAGCCACACGGCACAACCATAGATGAATATGAAGGGCTAATGGATGAGGGGAATCAAATTGTTTATTGGCTTGTAAGGCACTGAGGGAATCTAAAATGATCACAAATGTCCAAGAAGACATAGTATGTAATACGGAGAAGCGCAATGAGGATGGCATACAACTCGGCAGTAAAAATACTAGCCAAGTCTAACAAATGACCTCGGACAACATCGTCAGGAACACTGCTGTGAACCGAACACTGTCAGAAGATTTAGAATCATCTGTATGAACAGAAACGGCATGAGCATGCGATTGGAAGTGATCAAAGTATCCAAAACGGTTGGGATCCTCTCCAAGATACGATACTACGTTACCGCAAACTGCCGTTCTCACCCTATACCATTCACTTATATATCCATACCTCACCTATGCTATCTGTGCTTGGGGTTCAACTGCAGCAACAAACCTAAAGCCAATAATAACCCAACAAAAAGCCGCAGTAAGAATAATCACTAAATCCCATCCCTGGCAACGACCCCCCCCCCCACTCTTCATAGATCTAATTTAATCCCTGTTCAGAACATCCACACTTACTACTGTGCAATCTATATTACAGGACCTTAAATTCCAATATTAACCTTGACCTAAAACGCTTTCTTGATAGTTGGGACAGGACCCACAGGCATAACACCAGACACAACATCTCTATGACATTCCCCGTGTTCGACTAAACCTTACAAAAATTCAATGTATTTCAAAGGATCTTAAATCTGGAACACCCTACTGAAAACTCTAGAACTGTAGACACATTCATCACTTTCAAAACTACAGTTAGAAAACATCTCATCTCCCTGATACACCCCAACAACTAACTACATGATAACACCTGGTGGTTCACAATTACACTCACTCACCCACTGACTATAAACCAGAAATACTAATCTTAATCTTAAAATAATAAATCCTAACTAGTCATAAGTTTGCCTATGTTACTCAAATATAGACATCTCGTATTGTGCCAAAACAAAAGCATTCACATTGCTAAACTCAAAATTATGATGTAGTCACTCAGCCTTAATACTATAATCTGTAAGGACTTAATGTTAAGAATTAATCTAAGTCTGCTGGAAATGCCTAGCCATGCTAGGTGTCCTAGTGGCCCCCTCTGTAATTAGTATTTTTTAACATGTAAACCACAAAATACCCAAAACCTGTAAACCCCACATTGTAACCATTATAGAGAATAAACTTGTAGAAAAAGAGAGCGAGAAGCAGTTGTAGGTAGGAGAACTTTGGCACACGGTAGTGCGGGGAGAACATACACGAACTGTCGTAACCTTCCAAGGGAGAAGGGAAAAGGCAGACGCTAAATAAACATACAAGGGAGGCGAGTAAGGGAAAATGGTCAAGAGTAAACAGGAGCGTCAAACAAATAATGGGCTTTTACTGTTGTCTGAGACCAACCTATACATAGACGGAACATGAAGGTCATGAGAGCGGACAAAGTAATGAAGGCAATGAGCATCACGACGATCAGTTAAGGAAGGAACATTTGCCTCAACATGGAGGCTTTCAACAGGGTATGAACGATGATGAAGGGAATCTAACTTAGAAAGAGTGGTAGGAAAAACTGCAGAATAGACTTGGTCTCTATAATCCAGCTTGGACAAGACTAGGGTGGAATGCAAACGGAGGAGAGTTCGGCGATCTGCTCCCCATGAATGATGTGCAAGAATTTTAAGGAGATTCAGCTGACCATGGCAAGTTGCCTTCAAAGAGGAAATGTGAGGTTTCCATGTAAACAGACGACCGAATAGTAAGAGAAGACACTCGACCCTATCACATTCTGGGATACGTGAGCCGTGTAAATACAATAGAATATCTGGGATAAGAGGTCGTCTAGTGAAGGTAATGAAATGGGTTTTCGTACTAGAAAATTTAAATCCATGAAAAGTGGCCCAATGGGAAACCCGGTCAATCGCATCCTGAAGGGAAGCCGCTACCAGGCGACAGTTAGCTCCTGCATAAGCTATAGTGAAGTCATCCACATAAACTGATGGAAGAACGGAAGGTAGGTCATTTATAGCCAAGAGAAAAAGGGTAGTGCTAAGGACACAACCTTATGAGACACCCTCGGCCTGAACAAAGTCTGAGGAAAGCGAGGCGATAACCTGGACACGAAATTGTCTGCCAGATAAGAAAGCAACAAGGAAAGTTGGAAGTTACCGCAGAGGCCTAAAGAGTGGGTTTGGGCTAAAATGTTATACCTCCAAGTGGAATCGTATGTCTTTCAAGATCAAAAAGGGAAAGTTGAGATAATGGTAGACAGGAAGTCTTCCAAACAAGTGCGCTCATCGTAGTTAACACTGCAGCAAGCCTACTGGCCCATGGTAGGCAGGTCTAGTTAACACTGCAGCAAGCCTATTGGCCCATGGTAGGCAGGTCTAGTTAACTGCTGCAAGCCTACCGGCCCATGGTAGGCAGGTCTAGTTAACACTGCAGCAAGCCTACTGGCCCATGGTAGGCAGGTCTAGTTAACACTGCAGCAGACTACTGGCCATGGTAGGCAGGTCTAGTTGACACTGCAGCAAATCTACTGGCCCATGGTAGGCAAGTCTAGTTAACACTGCAGCAAGCCTACTGGCCCATGGTAGGCAGGTCTAGTTAACACTGCAGCAAATCTACTGGCCCATGGTAGGCAGGTCTAGTTAACACTGCAGCAAATCTACTGGCCTATGGTAGGCAGGTCTAATTAACACGGCAAGAAGCCTACTGGCCCATGGTAGGCAGGTCTAATTAACACGGCAAGAAGCCTACTGGCCCATGGTAGGCAAGGTCTAATTAACACGGCAAGAAGCCTACTGGCCCATGGTAGGCAGGTCTAATTAACACGGCAAGAAGCCTACTGGCCCATGGTAGGCAGGTCTAATTAACACGGCAAGAAGCCTACTGGCCCATGGTAGGCAGGTCTAATTAACACGGCAAGAAGCCTACTGGCCCATGGTAGGCAGATCTAGTTAACACTGACAAGCCTACTGGACCATGCTGGGTAGGTTCTTAAATCCAGCTATTCTCACTCATAATTAGTGGTTCAACAATGAAGTTGAAGGTGACCTCAGTACTAAGATAACTTTGTATTGCAGTATCCAACAGCATGAATATAATAATACACAATACCGAGAATTAGATACCCAGATATGTACAACAATTAGGTATCTTATTTCGAGACTTTTCGCCAGACTTCATCAGTCGAATACAGAGGTGGTAAATATGGAGACAGCAGCAGTAGAGGAGAATTAAATGAGATGTGATGAGTTCTTTCTCATGCTAGAGCTTCACATGTTTCAAGGTTATCAAGTTGAACACATCTCCTGGTTGAGGGACTGACCACCTCAAACTACTCCTTCAGGGTTGATGGACTGATTCACATCATCCTTAATAAATAACAGGAAAAGGCACAATACCCTGACTGGAACGTTACACTGCATCTACTCTCTCCATATCTGCGATATCTGTACTCGACTGATGAAGCCTACTGTGCTGGCGAACAGTTTCGCAATAACATACCTAATTGTTGTACATTATTTACATTGTGTTAGAGAATCACTGCAGTTTACAGGGTGGGTTAAATACTCAAAAATTGAAACCTCAATAGTTGAAACCTCAGAGATCTGGCTGTAGTTAATATTCTAAATATCAGTCCCGGTATATTGTGGCAAAGTGAATTTTCTGTACCAGTAAATGAAGGTAATAAAAGTTACATTTAGAGTGTTCTGGTTCCTCAGCATCGTTCTACTTGTTGGATTTTTATTATTGTCCCAATATCCATTGTATGGGGTATAGTCACTAGTTACCCATTCCATGGGTGGTGGTCAACCCATAACCATCTTGTGGAAGGTTGTCATCCCATACCCATCCTGTGGAAGGTTGTCATCCCGTACCCATCCTGTGGAAGGTTGTCATCCCGTACCCATCCTGTGGAAGGTTGTCATCCCATACCCATCCTTTGGAAGGTTGTCATCCCATACCCATCCTTTGGAAGGTTGTCATCCCATACCCATCCTGTGGAAGGTTGTCATCCCATACCCATCCTGTGGAAGGTTGTCATCCCATACCCATCCTGTGGAAGGTTGTCATCCCATACCCATCCTTTGGAAGGTTGTCATCCCATACCCATCCTGTGGAAGGTTGTCATCCCGTACCCATCCTATGGAAGGTTGTCATCCCATACCCATCCTGTGGAAGGTTGTCATCCCATACCCATCCTATGGAAGGTTGTCATCCCATACGCATCCTGTGGAAGGTTGTCAACCCATAACCATCTTGTGGAAGGTTGTCATCCCATACCCATCCTATGGAAGGTTGTCATCCCATACCCATCCTGTGGAAGGTTGTCATCCCATACCCATCCTGTGGAAGGTTTGTCATCCCGTACCATCTATGGAAGCTTGTCATCCCGTACCCATCCTGTGGAAGGTTGTCATCCCATACCCATCTGTGGAAGGTTGTCATCCGTTACCATCCTATGGAAGCTTGTCATCCCGTACCCATCCTGTGGAAGGTTGTCATCCCATACCCATCCTGTGGAAGGTTGTCATCCCATACCCATCCTGTGGAAGGTTGTCATCCCATACCCATCCTATGGAAGGTTGTCATCCCATACCCATCCTGTGGAAGGTTGTCATCCCGTACCATCTATGGAAGGTTGTCATCCCATACCATCCTATGGAAGGTTGTCATCCCATACCCATCCTATGGAAGGTTGTCATCCCATACCCCATCCATGGAAGGTTGTCATCCCATACCCATCCTGTGGAAGGTTGTCATCCCGTACCCATCCTATGGAAGGTTGTCATCCCATACCCATCCTATGGAAGGTTGTCATCCCATACCCATCCTATGGAAGGTTGTCATCCCATACCCATCCTATGGAAGGTTGTCATCCCATACCCATCCTATGGAAGGTTGTCATCCCGTACCCATCCTGTGGAAGGTTGTCATCCCATACCCCTCCTGTGGAAGGATGTCATCCCATACCCATCCTATGGAAGGTTGCCATCCCATACCCATCCTATGGAAGGTTGTCATCCCGTACCCATCCTATGGAAGGTTGTCATCCCGTACCCATCCTGTGGAAGGTTGTCATCCCATACCCATCCTGTGGAAGGTTGTCATCCCATACCCATCCTATGGAAGGTTGTCATCCCATACCCATCCTGTGGAGGTTGTCATCCCATACCCATCCTATGGAAGGTTGTCATCCCATACCCATCCTGTGGAAGGTTGTCATCCCATACCCATCCTATGGAAGGTTGTCATCCCATACCCATCCTGTGGAAGGTTGTCATCCCGTACCCATCCTATGGAAGGTTGTCATCCCATACCCATCCTATGGAAGGTTGTCATCCCGTACCCATCCTGTGGAAGGTTGTCATCCCATACCCATCCTATGGAAGGTTGTCATCCCATACCCATCCTATGGAAGGTTGTCATCCCATACCCATCCTATGGAAGGTTGTCATCCCATACCCATCCTGTGGAAGGTTGTCATCCCGTACCCATCCTATGGAAGGTTGTCATCCCATACCCATCCTATGGAAGGTTGTCATCCCATACCCATCCTATGGAAGGTTTGTCACCCATACCCATCCTATGGAAGGTTGTCATCCATACCCATCCTATGAAGCTTGTCATCCCATACCCATCCTATGGAAGGTTGTCATCCCATACCCATCCTATGGAAGCTTGTCATCCCATACCCATCCTATGAAAGGTTGTCATCCCATACCCATCCTATGGAAGGTTGTCATCCCATACCCATCCTATGGAAGGTTGTCATCCCATACCCATCCTATGAAAGGTTGTCATCCCATACCCATCCTATGGAAGGTTGTCATCCCATACCCATCCTATGGAAGATTGTCATCCCATACCCATCCTATGGAAGCTTGTCATCCCATACCCATCCTATGGAAGCTTGTCATCCATACCATCCTATGGAAGCTTGTCATCCCGTACCCATCCTATGGAAGGTTGTCATCCCATACCCATCCTATGGAAGCTTGTCATCCCATACCCATCCTATGGAAGGTTGTCATCCCATACCCATCCTATGGAAGGTTGTCATCCCGTACACATCCTGTGGAAGGTTGTCATCCCATACCCATCCTATGGAAGGTTGTCATCCCGTACCCATCCTGTGGAAGGTTGTCATCCCATACCCATCCTATGGAAGGTTGTCATCCCGTACTTATATTCGGTAGTACAGAAAGATTACACACATAATTGGACCAGGAACTTAGCTTCAGCAATTCTTCGCTAATCAGTTTAGTAGTAACGAACTATTTACAGTTTTTTGAATATTGTTATTACTATGTACACTCAAATAATATTATATATAAAATACTCACAGAAGTAAACTGAATATTGAAAGGATCATCGAATTTAACTCTGGTAGCAATGTCTGCGAGCATCGTCTTGTGGCAACTATCACCAGCGCCATACAGATCTCCAAACTTGTAGCTTCCGCTGTGGTAAATATATATATTAGTCTATGTTTGAATTAAAATGTAATAAATAATGATCAATAAAAAGTGAGAAATTACTTAGAAATATGAAACGTAAAAGAGAGATTTGGATACGTGGGTCTTAGAAAGTTGCTAAGAGGGTTTCTGTTTAAGATCGAGGTATATGACTCACGAAATCGTAATGACACGATTGCAAACAAACCATATCTGGAGTTTTATTTTGGAGGGGGTTTCCGGGGGTCAACCCCCCCCGCCCGGTTGTGACCGGGGCCTCCTTGGGTCATTTTTCCCAGGATGCCCCACCCCGTCGACTAACACCGGGTCCCATTTTACTGATGGGGAACATGAAACGGTTGGAAAGAAACACGCCCAATGTTTTATTGGCTGGGAATCGACCCAGGCCTCCCCGTGTGAAGCGAGAGCGTTAACCACCAGGCCACCAGAGCCCCCAGCTACCCACAAAAGATTCACCCAAACTATATATTTCAAAAACCATAGGAAGGGTTAGAAAGGCACCCTGTGCCCAAAAAATGAACCCCCTATGGTGTAGAAATATCCCCTATTGGAAAATTTGTGGGCTAGCTGGTCTACTAACGCGACGGTTGGAGTTTTAGATTGCCGGGGTTCAACCCGGGCCCGGGGGTAGGGTTTTATCGAGGTATATATACGACTCTCTGTTTTGATGCTCGAGTGTCCTCCCATTTTTTTTTTTATCATATTGTATAAGTTTTTTTTTTTTAAGTCCCCCAATGGTTGGGGGACATTTTTACCTCTTTTTAAATAAATTCCCTGGGGAAATCATTTGCATGAAAAATTTTGCATCGGTTTGACCCCAATTTTCCTGAGTGTCCATCTGGGCTTTTTGTTATCCTGCTACGGGCAAGAAAAACAGTTACCCCGTTTTTTTGTCTTTTTATATAATCTGAACGACTTGGACACGTGATGCTATAGTGATTTCCCATTTTGCTTTTTAATCTAAGGTTTTCACTGTCATTTTTCATCATACAGGATAAATTTCTACAAAAAGGAAACAATGGTCAACCTGAGCGGGAAAGATTTGAAGAAGGTGATAGTTCATTCCGTGAGGAACCCGCCTTTGTTTAGTGAATCCTTTTGAATAAAAATTTGAAGATACCCTCCTTTTCCTTTGTAAAGCCTCTTTACTTTTTTTTTCCCTGCTGAAAGGGCCGTGAGTAAACTGAAATGAGTAAAAAATACCAATCAAGGCGGGGAAAAAGTTAGGGTGGAAGATCGAGCCCCCAACATTTCTTCCCCCAATGGCCCCAAGGGGGTTTTAGGCCATAAATACGATATCAACATTTTGACACCAAAAATCTTGAGCAAAACTTTTGCAAAAGAATAAATAAAAAAATTGATTAAACGAAAAAATAAAAATGAAAACCTTTAAGGAAAACACTGCAAATAAAATTTAATTCAAATTAATAAGGGTTTGGGAAAATACATTATGAAATATCTGGGCTTCTGAGTCAGGGTTTCCCTTCCCAGAGGTTGTTGCAGAGTCATGTGCCTTCCAGAGGTTGTTGCAGTACAATTTCCTTTTCCAGAGGTTGTTGCAGAGTACATGCTACCTTCCAAGGTTGTTGCAGTACATGACTTCCTTACCAGAGGTTGTTGCAGAGTACGACTACCTTCCCAAAGGTTGTTGCAGACATGACTTCCTTACCAGGGGGGTTTTGCAAGTCATGACTACCTCCCAAGGGTTGTCACAGAGTATTGCTACCTTACCAAGGGGTTTGTCGAGAGTAGGGGATACCTTCCCAGGGGTTTGTCGCAGAGTAAATGACTACCTTCCAGGGGTTGTCACGAGTAAGACTCCCTTCCCTGAGGTCTTTTCAGAGCCATAATCATTTCTTCAGAGAAGGCACCGGAAAGTTTCAAGTCTTTTTGGGAAGAAAAATAATAGGGCGATCTCACACAACGTGATGTAATTTTGAAGACAAAAACATTTAAACTTTGACTCTTAAAAATTTAATCTTTAAATAACAGTAAAATTTAAGATATGCATACTTTCAATTACTTTTTTTTGCCGAAATTAACCACCGTAGCCCCTTTTCAGGGGAGGGGATAACACAAGCATCAGATGCACTCATATTTATCCAAAACCATGGAAAGGGTGAGGTTTGAACCCATGGTGGGGTTTGTAAGACTAAAGGCCAGTGTTAAAATAATTAGATGGATGAATTTATTGTACCCACTGGCCCATCTTTTTCGCACCGCCGGGTTTTTCGACTCCCATGGGTTCTAACCCACTCATACAGGGGTTTTTAGAATCGTTTTATCACGATCTCGGGAGTCAACCGGAATACCACTTGTGACCTCCGAATAAAACTAATCTTTAAATTATTAGAATCGTTTTTAAATCCCACGGGTGACACTCGAACACTGGGGGGCGTTCCTATCTCCCAGGTTTTGGAAAAAAGGGTCTTTAAACCTGAACCCCACCCCACCCCCTGGGACCTGGCCCTCACTCCACCCCTTGGACCTGAGCCCTCACTCCACTCCTTGGGCCGAGCTTTCACCCCCTCCCGGACCTGAGCCCTCACTCCCCCCTGGGATGAGCCCCACTCCACTCCTCGGACCTGAGCCCCCCCTCCCCCCTGGGCCCTGAACCCTCACTCTACCCTCGGACGTGAACCTCACTCCTCGGACATGAACCCTCCTCCATCCTCGGAGACCCCTCACTCCACTCCTGGGCCTGGCCCTCACTCCCTCCTTGGCCTGAGCCCCACTCCACTCCCGGCCCCTGGCCTCACTCCTGGGACCTGAACCCTCACCGACCCTCGAACCTGAGCCCTCACTCGACCCCCGGACCTGAGCCCCATCGACTCCTCGGACCTGACCCCTCACCGATCCTCGGCCCGGGCCCTCACCGACTCCTCGGACCTGAGCCCTCACTGATCCTCGGCCCTGAGCCCTCACCACTCCTCGGCCCTGACCCCTCACCCCTCCTCGGACCTGGCCTCCTCCACCCTCGGACCTGATCCCTATCCACTCCTACCTGAGCCCTCACTCATCCTGGCCCTGGCCCCACTCCACTCCCGACTGAGCCCTCACTCCCCCTCGGACCTGTCCCTCCTCCACTCCTCGGCCCTGGCCCTCACTCCATCCTGGGACTGAGCCCTCACTCCCTCCTCGGACCTGACCCCTCACTCCACCTCGGACCTGACCCCTCCCCCACTCCTCGGCCCTGAGCCCTCACCCCATCCTGGCCCTGGCCCTCACTCCACTCCTCGGACCTGGCCCCCCCACTCCACTCCTCGGACCTAGCCCCACTCCACTCCCGGGACCTGAGCCCTCACTCCATCCCGGACCGGGCCCCTCCCCACTCTGGACCTGATCCCACTCCACCCCTGGGACCGGCCCTCACTCCACTCCTGGGCCTGACCCTCCCCGATCCTCGGACTGGCCCTACTCGACTCCCCGGCCCTGAGCCCTCCTCCACTCCTGGGCCGACCCTCACCCCACTCCTCGGACCTGTCCCCACCACTCCTGGGGCCTGAGCCCTCACCCACTCCTCGGCCCTGACCCTACCCCCCTCCTCGGACCTGACCCTCACTCCACTCTGGGACCTGACCCCATGACTCCTGGACCGGCCCTCCTCGACCCCTCGGACCTGAGCCTCACCCGACTTCGGACCTGACCCCTCACTCCCCCCTCGGACCTGAGCCCTCACTCACTCCTCGGCCCCGGGTTCCTCACTCCACCCTGGGACCTGAGCCCTCCTCCACTCCTGGCCTGACCCTCACTCCACCCCTCGGCCTGATCCTACTCCACCCTGGGCCTAGCCCTAATCCACCCCTCGGACCGGGCCCTCACTCGCCCCTGGGGCCTGATCCCTCACTCCCCCCTCGGACCTGATCCCTCACTCCACTCCTCGGACCGACCTCACCCCACCCCTGGGACCTGACCCCTCACTCCACCCCTCGGCCCTGTCTTTTTATTCCTCGGGGCCCAACCTATCTGTGGAAAATTGCATTTACTTGGATGTATCATATTTAAAAAACAGTAAAGAAAAAAGATAATTTTTATTTTCAGTTAGACAAGTAGGATTTGGGACCCTAGGTCGCAAAAAATGCCCCCCCTTCGATCCCTACCACGTCAAATCCACAGTTTTTTTGGACCTATTAATTACAAAAAAAAATTTAATACAGGAATGCGGAAAATATATAAATTTGTGGACTTTATTAAATTTAAAAAAAATGTTTTAAAATTTTAACACATTAAAAACTCTTAATAACCTCCCCAATTTGATGGAGATTAATGTTCATGTACAGGACCCCCCCTTTTCCCTATTTATGAAAAATTTACTGGCCAAATTTAAAATAAATTAGACAGCTTATCTGAGGTTCTGGGGTTGTCCTGCCCTGTCGACTGATACTCAAGTTAGCGGAATGCACACCAAAAAATTTTCGCCTCCTATTTGGAGTGTCAGCCCAAATTTAACCTCTAACCAAAAATTTCCCTTCCCATTACCTAACGTTGTATCCGTTCAAATTAAGAGGGGACTGTCCTTCCCCCCAGGCCAGTTCCATTTTCTATGACATAAATGTATTAAATACAGTTGGCCATCTATTTACTATAACCTGTTTTTCTGGAAAATATATACAGTTTTTCCCCCACTATCCCTCCCAGCAATTAAGTAATTTCTTCCTTTTTAAATTGCATCACATTTTTAAGTTAGGTTGCCATATAAAATTAATATACAAAAACGAAAAAAAACTTAAAAATAAGAAAAAAGTAAAAAAAATGCAGGAGAACATAAAAAAGAGAGCCACGCAGACTGCTAGGGCAGTCGACAGGGTTTAAAAAACCCCTTTAAAAGTTGTTTTTACGACAATGTTTTATACCTACAGACGTCAACCACTACATTCCCCCCTCTTTCTTACTCTCCTCTCAAGGGGGGTTTTTGATGCGGTGAGGGGTCTTGATCTTGGGAATTGGATTTGTGTCCTTGCTGAAAACCTTCCATCCCCCCCAACATGCGCTGCATATCCCGGGTTTAG